CCGCATCGAGGATCTGAAGACAACCGCCCAGCAGCGCACCGCCAACAAGCGCAAGGCTGCAGCGACCTCTGCGGCGGAGGCCCCTGCGCCCGCTGAGGAAGAGGCGGCGGTGAGCGAGGAGATGGCCAAGCTGAAGCAGGCGGCGACGGCGCGGCAGGGGCCGTCGCGCGCGGCGGCTGGCACGGGCGCGGCGCCTTTGGCGGGCGCGGCGGCAGCCCCAGCGGGCGGCGCCCATGACGTCGAGATGGAGATGGAGCGCATCAAGCAGACGCGGGAGGCGGGGGCCGCTGCCGGGGCGGCAGCCACGCCGCTGGCGGCCGCGGCGGCCGCAGGGCCCGCCGATGAGGATCTGTGAGTCGTCGCTCCCGCCGAGGGTCAGGCGGGCCCTTCGGCCTGTGCAGGGAGCCAGCCGCCACCGAGCACCACGCGCGCCGTGTCTCTCGACGCTGGGGCGTCAGCGCAGTCGAGGTCTCGCCTCTTGCGCCCTGTGCCATTTGTTCAGCAACATCACTCGCGTGGGTTCCAAGTCTTGGAATTGCGTTAGTAATTATTCGCGCAGGTCACATCATGATATCGCAGGCATGGTCGAGACTCACGCGGGAGCTCACTCGAGAACGCAGGTGGACAGAAGCCCCGGGCCATGAATGGAAGGCACATAGACGAAGCAGCACGTGCCACGGGCAAAGGGAACGTCTTCGCAGGGGGTTACCAGGGCCAACGAAGGAGGAGAGCTCCTCCTCGTGTCTGGGCGCAGGCGCGTCCACAGGCTCTACGGTCAAATCCCCGAGGCGTCAGTTTCTGTGCAGACGGCTCGACATCGCTTGGCGGACGCACGGGTGCAATGTTGTGCTTGCGCTTTGTTATGCCCATCCTGCCGTCGGCTTCTTTGGGGCCAACTCGCAACGGCTCGCCCGTTTTAGGCCCCCCCCTTCCAATCCGCGCCTCCCTGGGTTGCGCTAGGGGGCTTCAACATCCCAGTTGATCAGTTTCGGCGCTCGGCCTCTGTGGAAAAAATGGAGGCCGTGCGCGCCGGGCAATTATAAGCCGCGCGTGCGCTGGGAGTGCAGGTAGTTCGCATATTGGTTTTGTTCTGGCCCCGCAGAGTTCTCTTTCGCATATCCGCGGCATCGGGGCTCGGACTGACGCGCCGCGGAGTCCTCGCTGTGCACTCGAGCTCCGTATGCACGGACCTGGGGAGCAGATCCTGCCAGTCTTCGAAGGCAGCAGCGCCGTCTCTGCGTGGCTTCGAGGAGTGGGTCTCGCAGCCGACGTCGGCGGGGCAGGTGCATCGCTCCGTCGAGGACCGCGAGCCCGAGCAGGACGAGCTGCACGTAGACGGGGCCAGCCTGGTGCACCCCGTCGACATCATCTACGCCAAGGTGACCCAATGACATCGGCTGTGGCGCGAGAGCGGCCCCTGCGAGGAGGACATCCTGCGCGCCTGCGAGCTCGTGCGGGGGCGCGCCGAGGTCAAGCTGCTCGAGCCGCTCACAGTGCAGCAGGTCAGGGCGGCGCTCGGCAAGATGAGGCCATGCGCGGGTCATGGAGTCGATTGCCTGACGCCGCTGGACTTCGCGCGCTTCCCCGATGAGGACATCTAGGAGCTGTGCGACCTATTTCACGTGATCGATGGGGGGGCCTCGCCTGGCCGTGGCAGGCGACGCGTGTCCTAGGTCGGCTCCTCGGCAGGATGTCGGGGGGCGACAGACGCAATGGCATCCTGTCGATGCCGCGTCGCGTGCGCTCCCTCGCGCGGGAGGGGCATGCCAGCGGCTGGGAGGGACAGCGCCCTCGGCGAAGCCTTCGCAGGGGCCCTCGGGGACGAGGGTCGTTCGACGCGTTGCCTGCCCCGCGGGCAGGCCTTCCACGATGTGGAGTCCTCCTATGACGTCATGCGCATGCCTGCCCTAGCGGTCTGCGATCTCAAGAAATATGTTCCCCCATCCATTCTATTTCAGGAGACGCAGACGTTCTCGGCCCCTCGCATGTTTTCACAGCTGAGGACATACTCTGAGCCGTTTCAGACGCGCAAGTCCATCATTCAAAAATCGCGGAACGGCACGCGTTTCGCCTAGTGCCTCACCGCTTTCGTGCGTCAGAGGCTCATAGTGGCTCATCCGTCGATGGTGCCGCGAATCTGGGTCGACGGTCTCTCGGGGAAGGTATCGGGGACCGGGAGTCATGTGCGCGCGACGCGATTCAAGGCTGTCACCGCCACAGTCCGCGAGTTCCAGCAGCTCCACCTTGGCATTGCGCCAAAGAGCGTTGTCACGCGCGCCCGCCACTCGGATGCGCAGCGCGTTGCGAGGGTGTTGCGGGCGCGAGGCATCGCGGCGAAGGCAACGCTGCAGGCGCCCGAGCTCGGCGCCGACGCGGGCTCGGCCCGCAGGCTGTCGCGCGACGCTGCGCGCAAGGGGGTCGCCGAGGCGGGGCGCGAGCGCGGGCGCCCGCGCAGGGCCGCGCGCGCGGCCCGCCGCTGGAGAGTTACTGGACAGATCCAGCGCGCATGGCCGCCGGCGGCGGCGACGCGCGGGCGCCACATGCACGGCTGCGCCGGGCCCGTCACGCCGGCGCACCGGGGCCGGCTCTGCGCCGCGGCTGGCAGCAGTCGTCGAGGCCGCTGCCTCGCGACACTCCCGGCGCTGCGGCTGCCTGGAGCGGGTCCAAGGCTGGCGCTGCCCAGGGCGCGCCTTTTGCGGTGGCTTGCGACCTGGCTTGCCGCGCCAGGGTTGCGGAAGGCGGTGGCTTTGGCATGGCCCAGGGCCGTCAGGGCCTTGCAGAGTCTTCCCGAGGCTCAGATTGTTCGGCACGTTCGCGGCCTCATGCCTTCTGTCATCATGTATATACTGCAAGCAGGCTGGGCTCCTCTCTCGGCCACGTCGTGGCATGTGCCGAATGACGGACCGGCGGACACTCGCGCGTGGGTCTTCCACGAAGAGCCCTTCGTCGGTCTGGGCCAGGCGCAGCCGCTCCTTCACGAGATGGAGGCCACCATTTCGGCGCAGCAGTGGAGGCAGGCGGCTCAGGAGTTTTGCGGGAGCGGGCTCGAGCACGGCGCAGGCCTACTCAGTTTTCGGCATTTTATCCAGTCGCTCCTGGACGTGCGTAAGGGCGTGCGCAAGGAGCGTCATCTGTCAGAGAGGATGGTCTCCATCGCCACGGGAGGTTCTTGGACTCAGCGGAGGAAGTGCGAAGCGCGTCTGGCTGACAGCGACGTATGCCATAGATGCGGAGAGGGCGTCGACGCGCCGATCCATCGCTGTTGGCCGTGCCCGAAGAATCGCGACTCACCGGCACGTTCGCAATCCGACGAGCTTGTCCCAAAGGCCGCTGCGGATCAAGCCTCGTTTCCCGCTTTTTGCATGAGGGGCATCCCTGCCCAGTGGACCTATGTTGAGCCCCCTGTAGCCACCGAGGTCCATTATGGGAACTCTCTGGTCGTTAGTGCTATAGGCGTTGGATGTCTTGGGCGCGGGGCCCCCGATAGCCCAATCCTCATTTTCGGAGTCGCTTCGGGGGGCAGGGACACCCACGACTGTAGGCTCAGGCGCGCGGGGCTCGCTGTGCTCACCTTTACGGGCTTCTTGCCATGTAGTCTCGGAGAAACGTGCTGGGCCCTCTGCCAGGCCCCTCCCAGACAGTCCTACGTGGGGAGCTCCTAGCTCTCGCCTGGGCTCCGCGTTCCACTACAGGCCCAGTTGTTTTTGTCACGGATTGTGCCGAGGTCGCCAGAGGGTGGTATGATCGCGCTCTCGCGCGCCCCACAGGACCCCAGGCATACTTTCGGCGCGAGATCCATCAGCACGTCACCAGCAGGGGGGGGTCCTCCATTTCTGTCCTTCAAGTGCCCTCCCACATGGCGGGGAATGACATTGTGTCGCAAGGTTGGCCGCCCTGGCTTGTACAAGGGAACGCGTGAAACGATATGTTGGCTGGAGAGGCGACCGCCCGTGCGAGAGCTTCGCTGGTGGAGAGGCATCGAGTGTTGCAGGTTGAGCGCAAGGCACGACTGGTGCGCAGCGTCTCCTCAAGAGTTGGCCTCGAGTCCATCGGAGCCTCGCAGGAAGCCGGGACCGTCCCGATCGATCCTGGCTCCCGCCTCCCGCCCCGCCCACCGCTGTTGCACGCTTCGCGTCTGCCCACTCCCTGGACGAGAATGGCAGGTCGTGTACAGTGTGCCGCGGTTTCGCTTCCAAAGACAAGGAGCGCGAATGGTTCAAAACTGAGTGCTTTCATTTCCTGCCCATCGACGGAAAGGTCTCCCGAGCTCCCCCTGGTCGGCTTTTACATGCGGCTGGCGGTTGGACGCACCCCACCCACGCGTTGCGGTATCACCAAGTCCTTGGAGCGTGGTTTTGCGGCAATTGCGTTTTTTTTTCGACCAGGCCCAGCTCAGGGGCTTAGGACTCCCATGCCGCCCACAATTAATCACCAAGGCCAGACGCGAGCACCTCGACAGGCTCACTCACGATCTGCATCCCAACCTGTTGCATATCATTACGTGATGGCGGATATCCTGGAAATACCCCCTCCTCATCCTTGTCCTCCTTCTCCTTCTCCTCCTCCTCATCCTCGTCCTCCTGGTCCTCCTCGTCCTCATCCTCCTCGTCCTCCTCATCCTCGTCCTCCTGGTCCTCCTCCTCCTTCTCTCCCTCCTCCTCCTCCTCGTCCTCCGCCTCCTCCTCCTTGCGCCGTTACAAAATTGAACGGACAAGGCAGGCCAGGACGAGGATAAATTCGGTTGAGGATGTAGTGGGGACCCGTGCCAAGATAAACACCCTACCCTGCTTGCCTCTGGGGTGCCTCGGGTTTCTTGGGTTTCGATGGTTCTGCCATGGAAGGCGTGACGCTCCCACACCACAGATCGATGGACGCCCTGGGGTCTCAGGGCTGAGCTTCTTGTGGACGGTCTCTTTTGGATTGGCCTCCACCGTATACGGTCTGGACACGCTGAGGATGTGCCCGCACGGAGCCGTCAGTGGAGGGCGCCGCGGAGGCGCCTCGGCCTCCCGCTCCGAGCGCTCGGCGGCGCTGGCGTGCGCGGCGGCACGCAGCTCGGCGCCCGCGGCGGCGTAGAGGGAGCGGCTCTCGCGACACGCCCCATCCTTCGGGGCCAGGGTCCAAGAGGTCCAAGGAAGTGAATAGAGGAGGAAAAATAATAGCATAACGCCGCAGACATAAACTTCTGGCGCTCCGCACGGACTTTTTGGATCTGAGCTGGGACCCCCCTCCTTGGCGCGCGGAACAAGCCAGGGGCGGCGCCGGAGGCGCCGCGGGGGGGACCACCGCGGATGCAAGAAATCCGCACAGAGCGCCAAACATTTCTGTGAATAGCGTCCTCTTCGATTGAAAACATCAGGGCGCAGCTTCTTTGCCGTTCTCGGCCTCCAAAGAGGCCCTCGGCTGGCCCCGGGCCCGTGAGAAACCGACTCAGGATGAGAGGCCAGTCCCTGGGAGGGGGGCGAAACTTCTGGGGATCTGGCATTGGAGCAGTGCAGACATCGGATCGCTGGGATCCGCTCGGCGGGTGCCTCGCGAAGCCCGAGCGAGCAGCCGCGGGCTGGAGGCAACGCGACGGCACGGCCGCTGCGGGCTCCTCAGCGACCCGACCTGCGAGCTGCACCCTGCCAGCCGGGCTCTGACGATGCCCGCTTAGGGCGGATAATGCGTGCCCGCTCCCAGTCTGACGAGGCGGAGCCTCCCTCCCCTGATGAGCTTGATGGGCAACACCCAGGTCGCCTGACTTCGCGCATCGCGGCCCGCGATGCGCGCGGATTGCATGGCGGCATCGCGCCCTCTGGCCGCTCGAAGGGCAGCTGCTCTGACCTGGACCGCAACGCGCGAATCACGGGTATCTCCGCGCCACCGGGGATGACCCAGAGCACAGGCGGGAACGACGAGCGGTGCCGAGAGCAGGCGAACGAGGACGGGAAAAAGAAGGTCTCGCCAGCGTGCCTCTGAGCCACGGAGCGCCCAAGCACCGTCACTGCGACGGCCACGCCCGCGGCCCCTGGGGCCCCAGGGAAACGACCGCCGCGATGGCCGGACGCGCTGGGACGGAGGCACAGACCCCCGACGTCGTGACTTTTTCACCACGTCGACCCCAAAGGTCTCGACACCTTCCCCGGGACCAATTTTTCGTCCTGGGTTGCTCTGTTGACTGCCCCTGGGCCCGCCAATGGCCAACAGGGGTCCAAAATAGCGGAACGCCTCCCGTCGCGATTCTCTCCACAGCGCGAGGGGGTCTGGCACGGATCGTGCCGCCCTCTGTGGGGGACCTCCACAGACGGGACGTGGCCGCAGCCCTTCGCCCATCCTGCGGCCAGGCCCCTGCACTCCAGCAGTGGAGGCGGGGGCGGCGCGAAAAGGGGAGCAATGCCTTCGAGCGGGCCGAAGCGAGTGTTAGGTCGGGCGTGTTCCCCTACAGGCGGATTTTGGACCAACAATAGACAACACTCAACAAATACCCTAACAAACAGTTTCGAACCTTGTCCCCAGACCACTTTTTAAAAAATTATTTTTGAATTATTCCTCCTGTACAACCGACTTCAAGCTACTGTCCCCCATGAGGCCGCGAGGGGGCGATGGAGCAGCCGGACCCGGTTCAAGAACGGGACCCCATCTGGATGTAGAGCGCCCATGTCGCCTGGCTCCAACCTGAAAAAAAACAGCCTGCAACTGAGCAGAACGCTCGCATGATGGCCAGTCTAAATGCAATGGACATGCTGAACCACTTTCAGCGATTCAATACCATCGACATGCCGATCTGAATACATCGAAATGCATACGCCATGCGCGTAGATATACCTAGCTGCAAATCCAACTACAATCGCAATCAAAGGCCAAATCCACATCGAATTGCAAGTCGATGTGTCGTCGGCATGCACATTGAAAGTCAAAGGCCCTCCCCCCAAAGCGCACGCACACACGGCGGCGCACGCAGGCGCACGCAGGCGCACGCTCTCGCGCACGTAGGCGCGCGCACGCAGGCGCACGCAGGCACGCTGGCACGCACGCACGCACGCACGCACGCACGCACGCACGCACGCACACACACACACACACACACTTTGGCGCGTTCGCAGCATCGCACGCGGCGATCAAGTAGAACAAACCGAGCAGTCGGACCGAGCGAACGCGCGCGCTGCGGGGCACACACGCACACACGCACACACGCACACACAGACACACACACACACACACGCACACGCACACGCACACACGCACACACACACACACACACACACACACGCACACACGCTCTAACACAGACGCACGCACACACGCGCGCACGCGCACGCGCGCACGCGCACACGCGCACAGATTCGCACACGGAGTCACGCGCGTTCTGGCGCCGCGGCCACGCGCGCAGCGCCGCGGCGTCGGAGGGCCAGGCTGGGAGAGCGCGCCCGGCCGAGGTGGGGGCACGGACCCACCCACAAGGCATCGGCCGACTCATCGGCGTCACCCCAACATGCTTACACTATATGTGCGTCGCCCCCTAGGGGGGCGATGCCGCGCACCGAGACATCTTATATGATATGCGTCGTGGCAGGCGCTTTCTGGCCACGCCGCTCGGGAAACGATATGGTACGAGATGGGTAAACCATATGTTCGGGTCGGGCGCGCGCCTCCAAGGAGAACATGTAGTATTAGGATGTCTCTGTGCGTCCCAGAGTTACTTGCGGGGGGGGGTGTAGGGGATCGGGCGCGGCCCAACAAACCCTTGGCAGACCATCCCCCTCCGCGACGTTACCCTCGCCGTTCAAGCTCCTGTCCGGCCGCAGGCACGCTCCGTGGGGCCATGCAGAGGGGCACGCCTCGGGAAGGGGTGTCTTGCTGAGGGTCGGTTGAGCCTGGCGGCGCGCAAAGGGGGGTAAGGGGGAGGGGGGGAAGGCTTCGTAGAAGGACGCTGCTTCTCAGAAGGCGCGGGCCTTACATCTGCAGGCAAGGCCCGCGCCTTCTAAGAAGCAGTGGTGTTTCTAAGAAGCCTTCCCCCCTCACCCAACCCTTGAGCAGGGTCCACCGGACACGTTCTGAGAACAGCCCGCGCAAACCACACAAGGCTCTTAGAACAATCTTTGGTTGGCCTATATAGAGAGCAGGATATCCACCCCCATAGTAAGCACCCGGACAAGCGCACACACACACACACACACTCACACGCACACACACTCACACACACACACACACACACACACGCACGCACACACAATTATACACACACTCACACACACTTTCACACACACACACGCACACACACGTACACACACTTACACACACTTTTACCGACACTGTTATACACACCCACACACAATTACACACACACACTTACACACACACTTGCACACACTTACACACACTTGCACACACACACACACACACGCACCACAAAAACACAAACACACACACACACTCGCGCGCAAACCTCGTCATCACCCGAAGGGTGGTCTAAGAAGTATCGAAGTCCCAACATCTCGTGCCCCCCGTGGACCGAACTATGGCCAGAACCGCCTCGGCAACGAAAGACGTGCAGCCCCAGAGAGGGTGGACTGGGCTGCTGGGGGGCAAGAGCAACGAAATCTCGAGCTGGCATTCTCGAAGAAAAAGGGCGTACAAACATTCACTGCCTGTGTTCCGTGTTTGAGAACTCGAAGGGCGCGCGTTTCCCGTGATCGACGCAACCAAGATGAATGGGGGAGCGGGAACAAAAACCGTGGGTGAAATCTTCGTCATCTGAGTGCTTGCCTACTTGGTGATTGAACTGGCACGTCGATCATACATGTGTATGTCAGTGATGGCGTGGACCCACATCAATAGATTACGCCCTTCTCGATGTGCTACTTCTGTGGCGCAATACATGCATGGCGAGATGCGCGTGGAGCCACATGAGCGTCACAGTCCGTGTGATGCAATCTGTGTGGAGCGACCTGTGCTGTCGAATCGGTGTGGTGCAGCGTGTGTGGTGCAATACCTGTGGTTCCCTTTGACTCGTGCCCCATGGCTGGCGCCATGAGTGCAGACCGCCAATCACAGGGCACCGACAATGCTATACACCACCCGGGAACGGCCGACTGCGACACCTCGGGCCTACTGCAGGGCGCCAGCGCACAGGGCACCAACCATCGGTCACCGACGGCCAGACGGGCACGGCCGACTGCGACACAAACGCTTGCCGCAGGGCACCAGCGCACGGGGCGGCAAGCAGAAGGCCACGACCTGGAATGGTCGAGCGCAGCACCACGGGCCAGCCGCATGACACCGACTTCCGACCTCAACGGCCGACTGCAGCACGAACGACTGCCGTCATCGTGCCGCCACCGGGAGCGCTGACTGGGGAACGGGGGACGGCTCCGCCACGAACAAGGGCCCCGACCTGGACCTGAAGAGCGGCTCCCGAAAACAAACGGGCCCCTCCCGCGCCCCACGTGGCCACTGTGCACGGCATCGGGCAATGACAGAAAAAAAAAAAAAAAAAAAAAAAAAAAAAAAACTCGGGAGGTCCTCGCGGATTTTGGATTTTGCGGATCCGCGCCGGACCCCCTCCCGTGGCTCGCGGAGCGCGCTGGGGAGGGAGCGCCGGATGCGCCGCCAGGGGCCCCCCAGCGCCGACGCCAGAAATCCGCGCGGTCCTCCGAATTTTGATGTTTATGCCACTTTTCGCCCCCAGATGTTTATTTTCACGTTTTTATGCCACGCTTTGACCTTCGCGCGCCCTCCTACGCTCAACGTGGTCGAGGGGGAGGAGGACGAGGAGGAGGGGGAGGAGGAGAAAGAGGAGAAAGAGGGTTGGGAGGAGGCAAAGCAGGAAGAGGAGGAAGAGACGGAGGAGGAGGAGGCGGAGGTCCCCATGTCAGCGTATGGAACGCACCGCGGTGCACCAGCGCACAGGACACCAACCATACGGCGCCGACCAACAAAAAAAAGGCAGCCCCTCGGGGCAGCCTCGGGGCGCCCAAACGCGCAGGGGGCACAGGACCGAGAGGCAACGTGAAGAAACGACCGACTGTGGCGCAGACGCCTGACCACAGCATTCGGGGAACGACGGATGACAGAAACAGAACAACGCGGAGGTCCGCGCGGATTGTATCGCGTCAGCTTGTCA